TTGCACAAAGATATGTGCTCTTCATTCGGTCACAATATAATGGTTTATGCGGATCCAGGTATTTGATGTCTTTGTAACGCCATTAACACTCCCATGATTATTATTTGATTCACCTTCATCCGTCATTCGATTTCGTTTATTTAGAACGGGTTTATGTTTTTTGCTATTCCGCGATCGTTTGTTACCGTTAGTAGAAACAACAACTGATTCATCACCTTTCAAAGATTGTTCATATTCCTGCAAATCTTTCTTTTTGGAAACGGATTTAGTGGAACTGCTGTCTGCTTTTGAAGATTGATTAACTCTTCGATGCGGTTTCTTTTTAGCAGGGGAACTTTCAGTTTCGTAATCTTCCAGAGATTTGTCAGTCACTTTATGAGATTTCCTTTTTCTAGTTGAAGCAATCTTTTCAACACTATTTTTAGAACTATTAGCAGACTTCAAAGATTCTTGGCGGAATTTCTTCTTCTCTGTATGAACCTTTGTAGGGAGACTATCGGATTCGTAGTTAGATAAGTCACTGTCATGTAGAGGTTTAACATTGACATCAGTCATAGCAGTTTGACTGTCTGAATTAACTTGTGTGGCCTTAGATTTGCGGCTCCTCTTCTTTCTGGGTTTTTCCAACTTCTTTTTTGCAGATTCTTCATCACTGCGACGAGCTTGTGGCCAGTATGGTTGCATGTAGACCTTCTTTGGTAATTTGGACTTTAAATCGTAAGACCCCTTTTAAAGCAATAATTCAATAATCATTCTACAAAGATAATGACAAAATGTACATAAAAAAAAAAAACAAAAAACACTACCATATCTTCACCACTGTCAGCTGTTTTCCAACGAATGTATGCCAAAGTGGCTTCTGAACTGGAAGATTTCACAATAGAAAGTTCAATATAATGTTAATCATAAATACTATATATAGTTAATGCAAACAAGGCTTACTCATTCGTTAAATCGTTAAGATCAACTAATTCATCGTCTTTTCCAAATTTTCTTTCAAAGGTATCCTTTGCATGAGTATAAACATCACGAAGTCGTTTCATTTTTCGACCTTTACGAATTTGCATCAAATGAGAACATGCGCGACCATTTGCATAACAATTAAGACATATGTCGTAATTAACGCCAGCTTCTGTAATACAATCATAACAATGAACGTGACGATTCCACAAATCACAATGACAAAAATCGCATGACATGTGTGATTTGTTGTCTGGAGTCTATAAATACCCAAATAATAATCATAATAATCAGCAAGCAACCTACTTGTAATTAGGGATGTTATTAGCTTTAATATAGTAACTCGGTTTGACTTTAAGAAGTCATAGCCAAGCTCAAGGTACAACTTTAATAGTTCTCAACAGTTGGCTCATGGCATAAAACATAGTATGAACCACGGCTTAAGCAATAACTTGTGTCACGCCTTTTAAACTTTATCTTGCATTCATTTTAAAGCTAATTATGCTTAAATTGAACCTTAACTTTAAGTCACAGCTAGAAGCTATAGCTCTGGCTTGAAAATGATCAGCTTCAAGTTAAGCCACTAACATCCCTGCGTGGAATGGATTTATTTGATACCGAATCACTCACCAATGGAAAATGAACACCATCATTCCAATAATCATTGGAAACCCATTCTTGTTCTAAAATGTATTTGTACGCGGTCATTAAAAATTTGTACTCAGTCCGAAGATCTCTACCAGGTGCATTTTCAATTCGAGTGACGAAATCAAAGCTGGGTGACGAATTATCAGCTGATGAACGTAAATTCTTGGATATCGCCTCAGTCCATTTACTTAAACTCTCGAAGACAAGTCGCTTCAATTGATATGTCTCAGGACGTAATACCCTAAATATTTAAGAGATATGAGTTTTATCATGTGGTATAAAACTTTAAGGTTCCACCTTACCTCTGGTAGCTAGGTACAGCACCCGTAACACCCAGATATGCAGAATATGGAGTTATCCTATTCCATGAGACTTTTATCGTACAAGAGCCCTAAAATAGCATAACAGTTATTAAATGAAATATTATTAATAAGAAGACAAATTACAAAATTATGTCATTACAAACCACATTGATAACTTCATGACAACATTCAGACGGCACCATAACAAAGTCGCCAACTTGTTGTTTAGTGTGGTACACAGTAAAATCCGCCTTTTCTAAGATGTCAAGTGGTACGTAATAATTTTCAAGATCGACATCCTGACCCAAAGCCTGTACTAGAGCACTCATTTTTTCTTTATCATCACGGGCAATCATATACCATGTAGACCAGGAGTCTTTATTAAAAAAACAAAAAAGCAAAAAATATTATAAAACCGCGGGATAATGAAATCCCATTACAAAGACATCAAATACCTGGATCCGCATAAACCATTATATTGTGACCGAATGAAGAGCACATATCTTTGTGCAA